TTCCACGGAAATCAGTAGAAGAAACAGAATTATATGATTATGGAACTTAACGGGACCAGTGTGTGTGTTACAAAATTCCAGGGAAAGAACGGTGCGATATTAGCTCACGAACAGAGCACTGACATTCAACTGTGTTCGTAAAAAACTGGGGAAACAGAAAAGAGATAGATAGGTAGACAGATAAAACATTAGTCTCACGAGCTTGAGTGTGTGCGCGCTCAATAAAACCGTGAAGAGCGTTGAAGGGGTCGGATAACCGGAATCAGAAAAGGGAGAATATCTATGGCACAAAATTCACAGCGGGAAGAGGAAAAGATGTTTTGTTCGACGCACAGCGCACGAGGACACACCAACAAACCGAGAGAAAGAGGGAGGGAGAAAGGATTGCGTAGCATAATTCCGGATAATATGCGTCGATAACCCATGCTCGTCTCAATGCCAAACCAGCTCTCGACTGAGTCTTTCACTGCTTTTAAATGCAGACAAAAGATGAAGAAAATGAGCAATAAAAAGCCGCGTCCGATTCATTGACAGGAAGAAAAACAACAGCAACAACAACACAGCAATTGCTATTGCAATGCGAATGAACAACTGGACAAATAATGGCGGAAAACAGATATGTTTGGATCACAGAAACTCAATAAAGGTTGTATTGTGAATGGAAATGATTCACAGCTATGGAATTGTTAACGGGTAGGCAAAAGATGGCGGATACCGCTTGAGCAAATATGAACAAGGTGAAGTGGGATCACGTTAAACGCTATCTATATTTTCAAGATGAAGTAGTCGGACGAACATGATCTAGTACGTGGATTGTAATCCCAGCCGGAGAGAATCGGATCGTTTCTACATTGGCCGGTGAAGGTAAGTTGAATGCGGCCAAATCAGTCGCGTTAACCGACGGAAGAGGGAGTGTTTCAGGCACGAGACCCATCAAACCACAAATCCAAAATCGACCCGGACGAAAAAATATAATTGAACTCTGTTGTGGTTCCATGTGGATCTTCTTCAAATGGCTTCCTAACGTGAGCTGGAAACAGATATGGATTGTGATCAGTAGACGAAGAAGTATATCATATATAAAAATATCATTGGAAGAAGAGTAAACCTTGGGCATTTATGGCTACTAAAATGAAGAGGTTTCGGATATTTCCCACTGCACTGCGTTCACCTAACCAAAGTGACATAAATCCCAGACATTGTTGAACGGAAAAATATTTAGATATTTCAGTGTTTCTATTTGGGAACAATGAAAATGTTCTCTGAATGCTTACCAGAGAACAATCTCAGTGAAGGGAACTGACCAATGTCAACTAAAAAGGATGTCATTTAACGAGTAAGAAACTCCACGATGTGAAAAAATACAATACTTTCGATAATAAAATCGAGAAATACCATCTCGCTGCACGGATGAATTCCTTCCTAACCCCATGAGAAAGGTGATCGGAAAGTGGTTATCGGTTGGTGCTAGGTGTGACCTCTGAAACAAAGATAAAAAACATTGGAGGGCGTTGAGACAGCGTCACTATTACGAAAACTAGTTTTTGCTGGACGAGATAATGGCTTGATGAAACTGTAAGCAAAACGGGGCACATTATTGAATGGTATAGAAACAAATAGCAGTTAGAAAATGAACGGAAAAATCAGTTACACCAGGTACAAGGGAGCGAGGTAAGAACCAGCTGGAACGACCCTTCAGGGTCTTGTGACTAATTTCGGAACCTACTTCGTGACACTGAATTGTTGATTTTGCTAGTGTCCATTTGCATGCAACAAGAAGACCAACCTTGCAAAGCAAAAATGACATCATCAGAAAAAACATACAAAGTGGGGGTCCAGAGACAGATGAGACTCATTGAGTTGTAGTTCAGAAGTAGTTAGTACGAACATGCATCGAATTAGGTTCCATTTGGTAATTGTTAAGGCGTCCAATGAAGATATCATGATCGGGCACCTTAAAAGCTTAGAAAGAATCCAAAAACACTGAATGAATAAAACCAAAAATGCCATCTCGGAATAATGGTATCGAATATACAATTCAGACAACAGCAGCAGTGTAACGATGGCTCATACATACAAACTATATGATTATGATAACCAAACTCGGACCTGTCTAGGTTCAGCAAAGCTCGTTGAATGAATGTGAGCAGAAAACAATGGCACTCCATCGGTCAATGCATAGAAGGTTGACGGTATGAAAAATGTGCACACAGTGGAGGTTATGGATAGATAATCAGCACAAATCTGTGTCCTTGGGTAAGCTGTGGAGCATAAGATGTGCGAAAATAAACTGGGAGTAGATCGGTCAGTCTGAAGAATAAAACTAGTAGGGCGTTCAATGGCATTGTTCTGTACAGGAGATGACAAGTTGACAATCACCCGAAGCGTTAAGGAGACCAAGGGGTTGTTAGCTGAATGGAATTTACTTCACAAGGAAATACAATGCACACGCTGATTTCTGGATATTAGTTTTAGTCGAAAACCTAACGGAACTATTTCGTTGTTTGTGCATTGAAAATCCACTTGGACCGGTGAGTAGATAAGTTTTCGGAGTTTTGCTCCAACCCAATAGAAAAAGAGGCCTCGCGCGTACCCTGATTGACCGAACTAGGAGGCTATATAATCCGGATAATGAGGAAAATCAGCCAATTAGGTTTCTGGAAGCTCTGAAACTCAGTGGCTACCCAGCAAAGTTGACACAAAGGTACATTGAAAAAACCGAGCCCAAGCCTTCAGAGATGACAGTACCAAAATGTGACGTCATCATTTAACTCCCTTTCAAAGATGATGATGTAGGCCAACTCATACGAAGACGGCTGGTGGCAACTAAAGCTCGCACATATTTTGCTGCCAATCCACTTGTTCGCGTCATAACAACCCAGATTCTGAAGCCTTTGGCGGATGCAGTGATCCCTCTGCCCGCAAAATCGCATGCAATCTATGTATTTCAATGGAGTTGCGGAGACGGCCGCGTGGGCAGAACGGAGATGCAGCTGCGCACCAGTATGGGTCGAACACGAGCTGCACAAACAACCAGTCCGTCAGGCCAGTCGTCCAGACAACCTGCGTCATCAATTGCTTGCTATGTGCTGCAGAGTGTCTACTATCCCATTGTCGGACCTCGTTTCTAGTTGTTTACACAACCCCGAATGGTCGGCTGTTATGATTTGCAGAGGCCATAGCAATCAATCGCCGAAAGCCCCTGCGGTGTCAGCAGGAAGCTTGCATCAGTCTGGCTTGTCGCGGTGACCACGCCAGCGGAAGAGTGAATTGATACTATTTTATAATGTCATGCCATATATAAATATATATATATATATATATACATATATATACATATCTTTTTTCTACAGTAAGCACCAACTGAGAAGCAGCGAGACGACTTTGAAATTAAGTTGTGTTTGTTTGCAGTGTTGTGCTCTTTATTTAATCAGGTGTTTTATCAATGAAAACAATTACACTTAGGGATAGAAAGTGGCAAAAGAGATGAGACGCGAAGCCTCTAGAAACGACATAGATCAAATTGCCACCTCGATTTAGACAGCTTAGCTTTAATCACCACCTCAGCATCACACTTGTCAAGTTGAACAGAATCCCTTCAGTAATTGAGTGCTTTCAGCTCTCCTGGAGTACAGACATTTTACCATATCATATTACTCGATCTTTCTTAAAGCAACACACCTCCGGGTCACGCAGGCAAAAGATTTGGCAACAGAGAGTAACGTATACAAAGCTTACCCCTATCTCACCACCAGCATTTCCGATGAATTCAAACTCCTTGCCTTGGAGTAGAGGCCCTCGTATATCTAGAGACGAATTGTCTTTAGATGATTCGTCTGAAGGTCTCTTGGTAATGATCTCGTAGACCACAGGACCAGTCCAGATGCGGTACACATCGACAGTTGGCGGAGTGAACGAGGGCGAACAAAGAGGATCGGTTTGAACTGGTTATGCGAAAAAGATGGATAATCAGATGTGTCTCAGTTGTCGGGAAACATGAGAAAAATTCAAGCATCTCAATAATCTAAAGCGAAAAACGATAGCTTTAACTGTGAAAAACGCGAAACCTCAGACTTGACACGTGTTGTCAAAGCAAATAAGCGTTAAGCGTATATTGCAAAGATTCACAATTCAGACTTGTTTTTCACCCCACCAGAGCATACTGATCGGGAGTGTGAATGAACCACGCTCTGATATCTAACACAGTTTGATCGGATAAAAGTACCCGCTTTCTTGAAATTTTCCGTACGATTACACACCGAATAGAAGTAGATAAAAAAATAAAAGAAATGATAAAAGAGGTCTACTGGCATGCGCGAGCATAGTTCACAAGTGTGAATGGAGCTTTTAATTCAGTACGCTTCACGATCATTAGGAATGACAAGCACGGTTCTAGGTGTTAAACAGACTAACGTATTATTTGTTCGGATGGAGACGAGTTTCAACTTGTTCAGACTAGCATTATTTTTCGCAAACCACGTTAACTCTGTGTTCCTTAAGCTTATCTGTAACACAACACGCGTTATAGGTTGCCTCAAAATGAATGAGTAGGGAACGTTCGTTTGCTCCCATTGCACATAGTAATGAAATGTATCTCAGGAGGACTTAATCTCAGAGCTACGAAGACTTATTGTTTGATCAAAAGAACTGTGGATGAAGAATTACATACGCATAGCTGATAACTTCGGTTGTGACAAGAAAGCGGGGTTCGAACATGTGTAATTGTTGCAAAAATCGGTCACCGCTTTCAAATAATAAGAATATTATTATTATTATCGTTATTTCACCATTAATGTGTTTGGAAATTTTACTTGGTCCTTATGCTGATTTCTTTTCAAACTGCGACCGCGGATAGAATCAAAGCGGATTCAGTAATGGAATGAAACAGTCGGTCGGAACACGGACCACGACATGATCGGGTAAGCATTAGTAATAAATTAGTTAGGATTTGAATTGAACAGTCTGTTTCCAGAAGAAAACAGTTTTCAGTTTTATCTTAGTTTTCTCTAAGGAGAATTTCTGTGGACGGTGGGAACACATATTTTCCAAAATTATTTTACAAACCCTCTGATGAGAAGATTCATGACGGAACCGAGGTAACAAATAATCGTACCTGGATCGTGAATTCGTACTCCATGTAACGGATGATAGTGAACCCAACCCTTTATCTGAATGGCAATTGGCTCCATGGGCAAAGTACACATCCGTTGGGCACTCTGCAGTACGTCACCGTTCAAGCTGCGCAAGTATTGCGGGGTACTCAGTTCTGGGACGGAAGCTCGACGAAGCACGTTCATGATCTCGACCTCAGCCTGATCCGGTTCCTCTGACAAAGCGTTGAGTCGGGCATTCTTATTCACGGTCGGGTTAGACTGACGCGATATGAGTGGCTGCGAAACACGTCGTCCAAAGATGGATTTGCATTGCATGCCCGAGTTTCCATCATCTCGACATCGGATGCACAATCGACCCTGGGGTGTGAGCTTGCCGACGCTGAGGATAGAATTAGCAGTTTTGACCCGATTGCTCGCGGAAAATTCGGATAGTGAGACGTCTGGATTTCAATTCGCCCAGCAACAAAAGGTTGAAGAATAAAAAGGTGCAACGATTGGTAAGAAAAAGATGATTCTCGGTCAAAGCAATTAATTAATTCAAACGTATATAAAATGAATTAAAATCACCATCTCCTGAACAGCAAAATACTCGTTCTCTCAAAAGGATGCAGTAAACATCGCAGATTCGCTACTGCAGATAAAATCGGTAGTTAAAGATTCCCAACGCACCAGCACAAATAATAATGTGAAAAGATCAGTGCTATTGGTGTGGCCTCGTAGCTCAGCTGGTAGATCATGCGCTGTACAAAAGTGTAGGTGGCGTCCATGCGTAGGTTCAAATCCCACCAAGGCAATTGAACTTTCCAATTTCAACATAAAACTTCATAAACATAAAACATAAACACAAAACTTCGGACTTGATAGTGATGAGGCTTTCATAAATATCCTATTCTCTGCGGTCAATAATCAAAACTGAGAATCGTTATATCATCGGTCATGGTAAACTTTGTACAAGCAAACCATCTAATATCACACTTGGAATGGATTGTGTTGAGCATCTATGAACATGAGCTAATAGGCTTGACCGTTAAGAGCCCAAGACGAGTTTAGCACTAT